GTTCACCCTTCAGTGTGTCCCCAGTGCCCCTCTTTTCTTCTGGAATCCTGATCTCCAGGTTTGAGACCTGAAAACAGTCTATCCCAGACTCCTGGGCGCATGGGTGCACCCTTTGTCAATCAGACAAGCTCCTGCCTGGACAGAATATGGGGGTGGCTGACATTAGTCGTGTTACTGGGGACTGGGAGCAGTGCCCTCGGGGACAGACAGACAGCAGCCTGAGTCACACCCTGCTGGGTCACCGTGACTTCCACATGGAGACCTCCCGGGGGCCATAGTCTAGTGAGAGCTGTCTCTGGAAACCCTGGCCTCTCCTTCTCACCCCTCCCCTGCCCAGGGACCTCCTCAAGCTACTTGACTCCCTACCCCAGGCTCAGCGCTGCCTGGCCACAGCAGGGTTCTGTGGAGGGTGGGAAGGAGCTTGGGTCGGGGCTGCCCCAGGAGCTTCGAGGGTGCCCAGAGAGGCAGCTCCCAGCCCACCTTCACCCAGAAGACCTCTCCATGAGAGCTGCTCCATTTTCCGCTTCTTGGCATTTCCAGGGACCTTCCCATGTGGAGTGGGGAGCCCTGGCATCCCCGGCCGCTGTCTCCCTTCCAAGGGAAAAGAGGAGGGAGGAGAGAAAAGCCGTATTAATAAAAGAATAGGGTACTGCGCCTAACGCCCGTGGTGTGTGCAGCTCAGAATAGCAATGTGCTTTCTCAAGGCAAACAGAACTCCCCAGGTGTTAATGCAAATTCACTCCAGTTAAGATGAAAGAGGGTTGTTTCCCCCTTTGCTGGTTAATATGAAGGACTTAATAGATTCAACCTCAGGAGCTGGGGATCTCAGGCTGGAAGCGGAAGGCTGGGAGGAGAAATGGGGGAGGGATGGGGCATGGGCAAAGAAGGTAGGTCCCCAGTGGGTTTCAGGGCAGAGCAACTGTCACAGCAGACCCGGCCAATGCTGCATGTGGCTCATGTCACCCCCATCTTATGCCCGGACTTGACAGTGGCTGAGACTCGCTGCTCAGGAGGACGGGGGTGGGAAAGCTCAGAGTAGCTATGCCAACCCCCTGTCCTGGCACCTTCTTATTAAGCCAGGGACTGGTGCCACCAGGGACCTTCCCCAATCTGTGCCAGAGGAACATAGAGCGGGGTCCCAGGGGACTGCCATCACAGGCCAGGCTGGCTGTTCCTAAAGGCACCAGCTCTTGGTTGTGACTGTGGGCCACCCCCTGGGGTCCTGGGCTGGTAACCCCCTTTTGTTTCCCAGAGGGTGACACTGGGTTGAGAGGGCCTGGGGAGACCAGATGGTGGAGTTGGAACTTGGGAGCCTTGGAGTTCTTCTGGTTCAAACTTGACCTTCTGCCACTGAGGCATGGAAGTCCAGAGAGTGAAAAGGACTTAAGGCCACACAGTGGAAGCAGAGAGCTGGGGGAACCAGAAGCCCCTGTGGCCAGCTCTCCTAAAGGACGAGCTAAAGGGGCAGGAAGGCTGCTCTGCCAGCCATGGGGCCCTTTCTCCCAGCGTGAAGCCCTTCTCCACCTGGGGCTCTAGGGCTAAGCTGTGCATCACCTATGCCTCTCTGAGCATCATCCTCGCCTAAAAAATGTGCAGGACCCCAGCAAGGGAAGGCTGCTGTTGCTAGTAGCGAGACTCCGTGTGTGGTTTGGCTGTACCAGATGTGCATCGAGGACTGGGCAGGGTGTCGCCTGGGCTCTGCTGAGGATAAAGGGAGACTTAGGGAGGCCCAGGCCGGGCTACCCCCATTGACTCAATTTAACTTCTCTCTCAGGGTGAATGGTAGAGCAGGTGCCTGCCACAAGACACCTCCGCAGCCTTCTTCGCTTTTGTTTACTGACTTAATTCCTTCAGATCAAAGGCTGCCCCTTCCTCCCCAGAGGAGGCAGGCGGGGGAATTACATTATTTATATTGGAAATGGGCAAGGCTCCACGGGGACTTCTTTCTTATGCCTGATAAGAGAAAATTAGGTCACCGCTGTGCCTCCCTGGTGTCTGCAGTTGGGTTTTTGCAGCCCAGGTACCCACGGGTGCAGGGAAGAGCTCCGTGTGCAAAGTCCAGTGTGGCCCACCCAGCTCCTCTCTCATCCTGAGCCTCCAGTAAATTATTGACCCAAGCAGAGGGTATTAATGTGACAAAACAAGAACATCCTTCCCGGGTTGCCCCTGTCCAGGGTTATCTATCATCTCCTGGCCTTTGCAGCTGGCACTGGGCAAACAGCAAGGACAAACAGGCCAGATGCAGGTTCATTAAGCTCCAGGTACAAGTGGTAGGATGGGGGCCCACATGGGGACAGCGGGTGGGCCTAGTCCCTCTGAGCTCTGATATCCTCTGGTCACTGTGGCTCTTTTTTCTGCGTCCTTCTACCCCTGATCCCAAAAGGAAGTTTTTAGAGATAGCCACAGCTGAGAGTAGGGACATGTGTCTAAACACTGTACTCAGAGCTTTCCAGATATTATTAACCTCCATGAAACCTTCTAAAATTCCCATTTTACAGATGAGATAACTGCAGTGCTCTAAGGTTTGGTACCTTGCCTAGACTCAAAGGGCTGGTAAGTGGCCAAGCAGGGATTTGAACCCGGGCTTGTCTGAATTCCAAGTCCAGGAGGGCCCTGAGTTCCATTTCCCCAGCTTATCCACAGCTGGTGGTGGAGTTGGTGTCTCCTCGTGCTAGCTGCCTGTCACTTGTAAATAATGGCAGTGCTGCTACACATCCACACCCTCTTTTTCTTAGAAATCGAAGTACTTTTTGCTTCGGTTCTTCATGTTATTCTGGCAACATCCCCAAGACACCCAGAGGCACCACTGTCAACCGTCTTTACTGAGAGGGCAGAGTGTGGCCCTGGGGGAAGACAGGGCCAGGTCCCCACCATGGCCGAGAGCCGAGCAGCTCGGAGCTCCTTAGCGGAGTAGCCGGCTGAGCCGCCTCTGGGGCTCCCACTGCGGAGTTCTCAGGAGGTGTCTTGATTTCGACTCAGAGGCAACATGCCAGGCGCTATTCTGAGGCCACCAGCCCAGTGAGAAATGGGCATCAAGTGGAAACCGGGAGAGGACACGGTGGGGGACCCGCTCTGAGTCAGATGGAGTCCTTGCCGTGCTGATAAACGGCCCTGTCATTTGTCTGGGCTGCCCTGTCTCAGCCTCGGGGGGCGCCGGAGCTGTCTCCCTGCAAGCCAACTGCGGTCTCCCCAGCAGCGCTGGGACTGCGGCCACAGGATCCTGCCGTAATGCAGTAATGACAGGCTGCCAGGGAGCCCCGCACGGCTGGGAGGGGAGGGGAGCCCTTGGCCTCTCTCCCTAGAGGAGCGGAGGCTGCCTGGGCTGTCTGAGAGGGAGCCGGGGATATGCAGACGCTTGTCTTTCTCGTCCCCAGACGGCGAGATTGGATTAGACACAGTCGCAGCAATCTTCTCCGGGTACCTTTCCCCTCAGAGTTGGGCTGCCAGCTCCTCATTACACGTGGGTGGCGCCTTATCCTCTCCTCCATAGGGAGGCTCCAGGGGCGGGCAGCCCTGGGGAGCAGCTGCCAGGCACTCCCCACTCAGGCACGGCCCAAGACAAAGGAGGAAGCACTGGCAGGGAGGTCAGAAGGAGCCACGGGAGGGGTGGGGCGGGGATCCCTTGGGACCCAGCTGCAAATGCCACAAGGAAGCCCTGAGGTCCGGCCAGCAGCTCTGCGTTCAGAACAGGATCACACTCAACTAAAAACACCAGCAGAGCTCAACCCACTTCCTCAACACCCAAATACCTGGCAGTGTTGTTATTTCGAATCCTGCTTAATAGGGACCTTGGGATCTCCGTGTATGTCTTTTGAGGATCAGGGTTGTCTTTTTTAAAAAGGGTTAGGAAAAAATATTATCAGGACAACCTAAAATAACAAATATGTACAAAGTGCTTTCTCTGGTTTGACCACAAAGAAATCAGGACTACCTCCACTTATTAAAAATAACAATTTACATGTGAGAAATAAAGTTTTGTTATTATTTGTCTAATAACTATATGTTAAAACCTAACAATGTATTGCTGTTTTACATTTCTCTAATTATATATATTTCCAAAATATATGTCAAAAACTAGTGATATTTCCAAAGTAGATTTAAAAACTAATAATATTTAACAAGGACATTTGGGGAATATTTTGTATGCAGCCATGTATCACTTAAAGATGGAGACACATTCTGAGAAATTTATAATTAGGTGATTCTCGTCATTGTGTGAGCATAGTACACTTACACAAAGACATCACTAGGCCATATAATCTCATGGGATCACTGTGGAATATGTGGTCTGTCACTGACCACAACTTTAGGTGCCATGTGACTGTATTTTGACGGGCTATTTTCCTTGGCTTGAATGATTAGAATAGAAATATATTCTTACAAGAGACAGAAAGGTCCCCTCGAAATACTGATAATCACATTAGCCACTTGGCTTTCTGATTTTAGGCTGCAGTGATTTGGAGAGTTATCCAATGATAGTTTTGGTCTTAATAACAGACTTTTGTTGATTAAAAAATAAATAAATAAACATAAGCTCTGCATTCAGGGATGGTTCCCAATTTCAAGTGCAGATGTTGGGTAGCCCTGTAACAGGAGCCAAGTCTTTGCCACCCTATAGATGGTGCCTGGGTCCTCGTGGCTCTATGTGTCCCCCACTTTCCAGAGCCCAGAGTTATAAACCCTAGAAGCAGAAGTGCCTAGAGGGATTCCCCACTCCAGTGCCCTATTCTCAGGTCTGGAGTCGAGGACAAGCAGGGCCCTTCCCACACCTCAGTGTGATCCACAGGAAGAGTCCCCAGGTGAAGGGGTTGTTAGAGACGATGCCACGAGCAGGGATGGAGGTGATCCCTGGCCCTCAGAGAAGAGGAGCCAGAGGTGAAATCTGGGCAGTCGGCTCTTGTCCTCATGGAACCACAAAAGCAGGCCCCACCACCCAGCCCTGGTCTTGCCACCTCAATAGTTTGAGCGACAAGCAAACCAAGGAAGCCCGTGACAAACTGTTAGAGCTTAGAATTTTTATTAAAACAATCACTTAAATTACAACAGTCCCCAGAATAGAAAAAGCCTTCCAAGGTCTGGTCCTGACAGGAGGCGTGAGTCAGGCCCTACAGGAAGAAGTGCTGCTTGACATCTCTGAAAATGGATGCAGCGTCCCTGGAATCCCACGAGGGCCGGCTTGGCCCCAGGGCCACTGGGAGAGGCTGAATCCTTGCCAAGGCTGCTCCGCCAGGGGCTGTGAGGCCCCAGCCCTGTCAGGGAGGAACACTTAGTCACTGTCACTGGTTGTCAGCCTCTGGACTTTTGAAAAAGAGAGGGAGAGCAAGAAACCTGTCCCCAAGATGACAGAACAGTCACTCACAAAATGTTATGTAATGCCACAGGGCGTTGTCTAGCAGGGCCTGGCAGGTGCATGAATAATGGGGGGTGACCACGGGTCAGAGTGCTGCTGTGGCTGAGGTGGGGCCTCAATAAACATGTGGGAACGGCTATGGGCCAACAGCATGACCTCACAGAGTCCCAAGCTGGGCAGTGACTTCATGACTGCTTTCAGTATTGGTGGCACTTCTGCCTAAAAGCCACCAGAAGCACTGGTAGTGAAATAATCATGGCCAGAACCTTGCTCTCTATGAACTTCCGAGACTTCCTTACTTGACAAGCTCCCAGGCTCTACAGAATGCTCACTGGAGCCAGGCGTGGTGGCACACGACTGTAACCCCAGAGTCAGGAAGTTCTGGCAGGAGGATTGCAAGTTCGAGGCCAGCTTTGGCAACTTAGCAAGACCCTGTCTCAAAAGAAAAACAAAAAGGACTGGGGACTTAGCCCAGTGGTAAAGTACTCCTGGATTCAGTTCCCAGTACCCAAAACAAACAAACAAAAACAAAAAAACTCTCAGGAGGCTGAGTCAGGAGGATCATGAGGTCAAAGCCAGCCTCAGCAAAAAGCAAGGCGCTAAGCAACTCAGTGAGACCCTGTCTCTAAATAAAATACAAAATAGGGCTGGGGATGTGGCTCAGTGGTCCAGTGCCCTCTGAGTTCAATCCCTGGCACCAAAAAGACCCCCCCCCCCAAACAAACCAGAAAACAAAAACTCACTAGACAGAACAGTCACCTCGGCTAAGGCACAAATCTCTGAAAACCAAGCGCTACTTTCATTCTTTCTCCTACTGGGGCTCAACATTCTGAGCACCCCATCTTCTCCCTCCAGAGAGGGCCGAAGGGCTTCTGGCTGTTAGTGTCACTGGCAGGCCCTCCTTCCTGGGTCAGCCGGGCCCCAGGTGGCCATAGCTCAGCGTGGCCACATGGCTTGGCATTTCTTGGACTTCAGAGATACACACAGCAGTTAAATTAAAAAACACAGCCCAACATCATTTTTATAAACGACTATCATGCTCCTGTGCCCCACAGCCACTGTTAAAGATTAAATTTACAGATCGGGAGGAAAGTAAGTCCTGGTAGAAATTCAGGGATGGGTTTCACACCCAAGAAGACAGAGCCAGGCACAAAAGCCAGACGTGACTTTGCAAATGCCCAAGGCTTCAGCTCCCAAGGACTCTCCCTATCTGCCACAGCCATCTGCTTTCAGGTTCTAGACTGGAGTCCCTCCCTGAGTGCCCAGAGCTGGTTTCCTAGGGGCAAGGTAGCTCAAGAAGGGGGCAGCCAGCCCAGGACCTTGTTAGCTCAGGCTGACAGTGGAAACAAAGCCGGATCTCACGAGCGAGTCTCAGTTTCTCAAAACCAAATGGAATCACCTGAGATGGCCTCTGCCCTCGGGACATCTCGAGGCCCTCATCTGTCTTCAGTTAATAAGTGTCTTTTTCCTGATTAAGACATATCACTTGCCCTGCGTTAAGGCCCAGGTGTTAGGACCTAAGGGCCCTGGTTGGCCTCAGCTGCAACAGGAGTCATGGAGAAAAGGATCCGAGGTGGCCCCAGACCCTGGAGTGAGTGAGTCATGGGGTGAGTGCTGCCAGGCACCTGTGTGAGCACCGACTTCGAGTGGACACCTGAGTCAGGCGCCAGCTGGAAGGGACGAGAGAGACCTCGCTGGGCCCTCAAGGGGACACAAAATAAAGGGGCTTCGGTGGTGGAGGGGGGACAAAGAAACAGCAAAATGAAGCCCAGGTATAAGTGAAGGTCCTGCTGGCATGTGGCCTAGAGGAGGGGTGAGGCAGGAGGACTGGGGCTCTGGAGCGTGGTGTTGGGACAGCTAGAAGTACCTGTGGGGCCTCGGAGCTCATGGAGCACCCCCCACACTCCTGGTCATGCCTGGGGTTCCAGGCACTGATGAGAACATGACCAGGAAGCTCCCCATCCTCCATAGGCAGGCGGACAGGGAAGACACATGTGGCTCCCGCCTACCTCTCTGACCCGGGCTGGGGTGGCTGTGGGGGCGGTGAACACTGTACCGTCAGATCCCTACACTGCTCTATTTGCCTCCAGTCGCTCAGCTGGCTGGTGGCCATTCATCACAGCTTCTTCCCCGAGTCTCCCCAGTCGCAGCTGGCCTGCCTGTCCCAGCAGCTGGCAGCCGGCACTGTCTCGGTGCTGCCTCACTGAGGACTCCGCTTTGCGGGTCCCGAGCTTCAGGCAAGCTCGCCGCTGACGTGTGGCAACAGGCTGCTCTGGGCCCCAGCACAGCCAGGCCTACTGCTTCACTGTGCCAGGTCCTCGCCTGTGGAGGGCAGGGACGTCCCGGAACCCTGGGCAGGGTGGAGTAGCAAGACTAGCCTCCTGGCCTCCAGGCGGCCTCTGCACTTCACTCCCTACAACCATTTCCCAGACAAGGCTCTGGAGGTCAGCATTAGGCAGGCAGGCAGACAGACAGACAGACAGAGACACACATACACACACACACACACACACACCATGGTGCTGGAACAGAGGAAGTATGGGATCCCACATAAGACAAAAAAGGACAAACACTTCTCAAAAAAATTAAAGTCGCAGGTCAGGAGAACTAGAACGCCATGAGAGAAATCTCTGCAGGGTCGTAGTTCAAAGGCAATTGCACATGAAGGGGGCTGGGCTCTCCACTAAGCTGGGGGAAATTCTGGAGCTCCCACAGGAGCCCCCAGGTAGTCCCTAGGGTGGTTTCCATGGTGTTGGACCCATCCCGCTGGTGCCAGAAGCAGCAGAAGTGGCAGATCCTGGGGTGGCCCGGTCACCTGTTAGAGCTCTTCAAAGAAGGCCACTCGAGACTTGGCACTCTGCAAAGTGAGCTGTAAGAGAGCAGAGAAGAAGTGAAAGGGGCAGTGTGTTTCTGTCCTTTCATGTGGGATCCCTTCCTGCTGCACGGACTAACCTCAAAGGTGGTCTGGAGTGACGGGGAGGCCTGTTCAAGTAGATGTTCAAGAGGCTGGTGGTCAAGTTCAAATAGGATTCCAGACTTGCCCCAGCTTTCAAATTAGGTGACAAAGGAGGACATGCCAGGAGGCATGGATGGTGGACAGAAGCCATGTTAGCAAGAAAATGTCATCAGTGTTGCCATTTCATAGAAGATAAGGGTCCCTAGGTATTTTACTAGATTCTCATATATTCTTGTCTACAAAAGACTGAGACGTCACCTCTGCAGTATCTACAGCAACACCAGCCTGGGATTCTTATCCTTTCTGGACCAGGAAGACCCAGCTCAGCAGGGCAAACCCTCTCAGTCCTGACTCCCAGGTAAGGCAACCCATACTTGGGGAAGGCAGGCCCGGGTTAGACAAGGAAGGGCTTGTCCCTTCTGCTCCTAGTGGTCTCAAAGCAGACCTGCTTTGAGGAGCTGAGAGGGATGTCTCCTGATGAGCTGGGAGGCAGCAGTTTCCCCATGTGGGACAGGCAGGGGGGACAGTGTATATGGGCAGCATTCTGGCCATCAACTGTCAGGCCTTCCCAGGAAGAACACTGCCCAAGAAGAATGGCATCAGAGAAGCTCAGAAGGGAAGAGGTGGATCAGGGGCCACACTCTGAGCATGGTGGAGTTTGTGCTTCCTGAGTCCTTGACTCTGAGACCACTTGGTAGCCTTTTCCCCAAACAGAAGGATCTGGCACAAGTGTCTTCCTGTTGCCCTGTTCTGCTCCTGAAATAGACCCACTGGGGCAAGACCGTGCATTCTAGATTTAGCTCCAGAACTTTCCATAGGAGAGATGGCAAAGGGACAGCAGGGAGTCCATCTTCATATCCCCAAAACGTTTAGTTTAGTGCGTGGCATTGGGTAGGAGCGCAGAGCATGTTGAGTGAATGATGCGAATCGTAATGACAGCTGAGTGGCAAGATGGGGGAAGGCAGGAGCTCCGCAAGGAGCTGAGAAAGGCCCAGGCGAAGCCGCTCCACCCTCAGCTCTCTGGGGGGCCCCAGGGAACACCCTTAACCTCTGAGTCTCTCTACTCGGGAGTAAGCCATGGCAGGCTAGCTGGTCATGCCCTCCTCACCCTCCAACCTCTCAGGCTGTCTCCAGATCTGAAGAGCCCTCAGTCTTACCCAGGGCTCTACAAAGGGCATGGGAGGGAGACTCTAAACCAACCACTTCACCATCAAAAGACAGGCAGCATTAGCGAGCTCAAAATGAGACAGCTTGAGAGCTGACTCTTTAAATCCTGCCAAATCTTTTGGCCTTGAAGTTCCCGACTAACAAGCGGAATGCAGGGAGGCATCTGAGCCGTTTCCTTCAGTGGAACCAATTCCAGAAGCCCTTTGGAAGCCCAGTTCTGATGGAATGGAGACAGCTTTTCTTTGCTGAAATGGAACTCCCTCCAGAAGGGAGCTGCATGTGGACGGGCTTCTCCCTCAGTGCCATCAGAGAAGGGCCAGCAATTGTGTGCCCCGTGATAATGGGAACCAGGAGGGTAACCAGAAAGACAGATTCAATTGCCAGAGAGCTTCTGGGACAAAACCCCTCTCGGCTCAGGGTTGGAATCAAATGGTGTGTACCCACATTTCCACTCTGGCTTCCCCCACACTTCTGAGAAGACCTCAGAAGGCTCCTTAGGGGGCAGAGGCCCTGTAGGGGACAAAGCCATGCTCACAGCCACTTTGAGTCAAACATAAGCATGGTTGACCCAAGGCCCATGTGGCCCACTGACCAGCTGGGTGGCCCTGGGTGGGTCACTGAATCCCTCTGGCCTCAGTTCCCAGCACATGCAGGGTGTGTCAGCCCCTTCCTCACAGGGGACCTGCAGGGGAACTGGGAAACGCTTGTGAAGCTCTCAGCGCCACTCCTGGCACGTGCTGAGAGCCTGGCAGCTGTTATTACTAATAGCAGCATCACGTTCCTTCCCTCCCCCAGCGCTGGCTCCTCTCCTCCCAGGGGCAGCAGAGCAGAGTGCTTGTCAGGAAGGGCTGCAGGCAAAGGCAGGGTCATGGCCTCTGAGACAGGGCAAGCGCTGCCCCATTGGCCTGGCTACTTCCCCAGGCAGGGAGCCCAGGCTGTGGGGGCCTCCGAGAGCCTCCTGCCTGTTTGCACAATGCTGGCTCCAAGAATTCCTGGATCCGCTACCAGAGAGTGTGCTGGCTGTCCCCTCGAGGTGCCAGGGGAGGGTTTTGGCAGCGCTGGTAGCGCCAGATTCCAGTTACTCAAGCATGTTAGGAGGCTAAGTGCTCTTTGGTGGGCGGGCCACTTCCCAATCAGTATCCACCCCTGCTGCAGGGCAGGGCAGGGCAGGGCAGGGCTCAGCCCACCTCTTCTCTTGCCAGACCAGGAATTTGCCTTCAGTCTCACAGAAAGGAAAGGCTTTCAGTAAAGTTGATATTCTGACCATGCAAGAGAGAGAGAGGGCATCACAGTTGTCCAAAAGGTCCGGAGGCTGTTAGGCTCACTGGCCAGAGGTGGCTCAGACATGGCATCATGGGTCACTGAGGGCGGCAGACGGAGGGCAAGGGGAGTCTCCCATGGTCGCCACCCACAGGCAGATCTGGCTGCTGCAGCCCCCATCTTCCAAACTCGCACTACAGTTCTGGCAATTTCCAATTCCACTAGGAACCCCAACGTCTGAGGAATTCATAATACGCGCTTACGCCCCAGGGCTAGGAACCCTTCCAGGCCCCACCATGGCCTCTGCCTAGTTCCCCCCACAGCATTCTTCATCTTAGACATCAAATGCCCTCTTCCTGGCAGGACCAGGAGAGCACAGGGGGAGGCCATGAGGTTCTGTGTGGAAAGGCTTTGGGCCTCTTTCCTCCAGATAACTCAGGAGCCCCTTCCCTCCCACCACTGCCCACTGCTTCTACCAACTGTGCTCCCTGCAGGGCACTCCCCTCACCTGTGGGAGCCTTTGCCACTGCAGGGTCTGTTCTGGAAAGCTTACTGTCACATTTACAGCAGAGTTGCAGCAGAAGCAGAAGCACAAAAGAGAAGGCAAAGACTCAGAGAAAGTGGCACAAAACAAACTTTGGGTCTTCTTCTTCCACTCAAAAAAACCAGCTAAAAAAAGCTTCTTGGTTTCCCTGTGGCTCTTGCACTCCAAGATTCACCAGCCCATGGCGATACTTAGTCTGTCTTACTGCCTGGTGGCCAGGCTGGCTGTCTCTGCACAACACAGCAACACCTCTGCTTGACAGAGCCACAAGGCACCAAGGAGATGATCCTGCGAAGGCCCTCGCCTTGTCCTATGTTGCACTGTGAGTTGAGAACTGAAGAAGCCCCGTGAGTCCCACTTGTCACCAGAATTCAAGAAAAGATGTTTGTGCTCCCTTTAACACAGCAATAGCTTGCCTGTTCCCAGCCTTGCCTGCTGGGGGGGAGTCTCCAGGCAGAAGTGGGCTCTACGTGCACATTGCAGTGTATCTAGAAGGTCACCCAGAAGAGGTCTTTGCATTTCAGCAATTAGGGAAAAGAACGACCTCAGCTCACGGATACACAACCAGGATCCAGTTGACAATGGCTGCATCCGTGGGGCCTCCCGGTCTGATGGACCTCCTTCGACTCCTTCTGAGAAGTGAGCAGAGCTCTGCTGCACATGAATGGTGACCGTGTCCTCCCAGCACTGTCCTTCAGAATTCATAGTCAAATCCAACCACCGCAGGCCTAGCAGTCAAACCCTGCTCCTTTGGTAAGACCGTAAACCACGAGGATCCTGCTCAAAGTCTCCAACCCAAAGTGCTCTTGCCAGTTTCCTAAAGATGACTAAAAGAACACCAAATCTCTCACCAGGCCCCAGGCTGACCTGCTGCTCTCTTCCAGCTGTCTCTTCACATCTGATTAGAATCAGCCATGTGAATAACACAGGAGGAATTAAGTCCTCTCTTGACGGAACCAGTTGTTCAAGTCTGTCACTAATCCAAGTCCATTCTGAAGAGAATGACTTCCTTTCCTTTGTGGCAGATCTATTGGGCTTTTTTTTTTTTTTTAATCTTATGGAGCCTCTGATCCACCTGCAAGGCTGGCTCTTACCTCCTGCCCAGCATCCACAGACTTGACCCTGTCACAATCACCTTTCATCCTACCTTCTGCTCCATCAAACAACCAGTTGTTTGTGACAGCTGCCAAGCTGTGGAAGCATAGGAAAGGAAGCCACTCAGCAGATCAAGGACTCCTTCTGTTCCACAAACTATGTGATACGACAAAAATGGCCCTTACACCCAATTTAAACCAGTTCAGATTCAGGAGACAAATCTGTCTCCTTGTAAGACAGGAGGCCAGCTCCTCCCAGCCCTAGAAGACGACCTGGTCGCCAGCTGGGTCTCCTTAACCCAGACATGCAATCTGATGCAGCCAGCTCTTGCTCACTGCTATGTGACAGGCAGCCCATCAAGATGCTCTGGAGAAATGTCCCTAGGGCCTGGAGACAGCAAGCCTGGAAGGTATCTGTGACAAGCACTCTCACCTTCTTGGTGGCCCACGTGGAAGCACAGCTCCTTAAAAATCGCTCCTAAGAGTGCCCCCTGCTGGAGACCCACAGTGCTGGCAGGCTGCCAATTCCTCTAGTTCTCCTCTAAAAGTCCTTTTAGGGGACTGTTTCCCAAAGTGATGGGAGGGTAACTAAATGTATTCCGGCATGGAGCCTGCAGCAGCAAGGCTGCTTGATTAAGAATGAATTACACTTTCATCAGCACAGAGAGAAAATTGATTCACAAGGCCGCATTGTGATAATCTTGTTCCTAAAGCAAAAGGGGGTGGAGGGGTGGGTAGGACAGAGAGCCACTTGGGCTATCAGTAGTGGAGAAAGGAAGCTCTACATTTAAGCTGGGAGAACAAAACTAATCAGAGTTCCAGGATTCCTTCAACTAGTCTCTGGGGGC